GTGTGTGTGTGTGTGTGTGTGTGTGTGTGTGTGTGTGTGTGTGTGTGTGTGTGTGTGTGTGTGTGTGTGTGTGTGTGTGTGTGTGTGTGTGTGTGTGTGTGTGTGTGTGTGTGTGTGTGTGTTGCCGCCGACGCCGCCGACAACAGCCGACGATGGCGCGAGCCCCCCAGCGGCATCTTCTGGATCATCGTCGTCGGCACGGTGTTCGTCGCCACCGTCGCGCTCAACTCGCTCGTCGTCGCGGCGATCCGTCGCTTCGCGATCCTGCGCACGCCGACCATCATCGTGCTGGCGAGCCTGGCCGTCATCGACATGTCGTTCGCCGTCACCTTCTTAATCGCTATGTCGTCGCGCTCTCTCTACCTGCTGCCGAACCGCAACACGTGCTGTACGATCTCTGTCGTCGTGATGCCTGCCTACTACAACCTCCTCTACCACTACGTGTTCGTCAAATACACGACAGATACGTCGCCGTGTGTCACGCCACCGACTACAAGCTCTGGGTGACGAAGCGTCGCTGCGTCGCTGCCGTCGGTGTCGCCTAGGCGACGAGTTTTCTTCACGGCGTCGCCATTGCGGTGCAGATCCAGAAGAATTGGATTCCCGGATCCGACTGCGTCGTCGAGCTGTTGGTCGACGACGGCTACGTTTATCTATTGGCTGCGCACTGCGTCGCCACGCTGGCCGTCGTCATGTTCTGCAACGCGCGGATGCTGACGACGGCCTCTAGGCGACATCGCGTCGGCGGCGGCAGCGGCGGTCAGCAGCGACAACAACAGCAGCAGCGACAGCAGCAGCAACAACAACAGCAGCAGCAGCAGCAGCGACAACAACAACAGCAGCAGCAACAACAACAATAGCAGCATCAGCAGCAACAACAACAACAACAACAACAACATCAGCAGCAACAAAGCAACATGCGGGCGTGGCGGCAGAATGGCACGACCAATGGGCACGACCAACATGGTGATCATCATCGTCGGCACGTCGCTGCGCTGCCACGTGCCCAACATGCTTTATATACTACTAACAATCCAGCGATCCCAAAGCTACCCGACTCTGCGCTCCCTCCGCAAGATGGGACTCCTTCTGAACGAACTACTCGATCCGATCGTCTACTCCCTAATCTGATCTACATGCTTCACTTCGCTCGCAGCATCGCGCCAGGATTCCCAGCTATGCTAATGTATGGGCAAATGGCGGTGCGACGTCGGTCGCTGTTGACTGCCAAGATAATATTCTTCGGCCGTTCTTATACGTTCAAACTGGAGCCGGGCAGGCTGACAGCACGTGCATGTGCATGGTAAAATCTGATCTACATACTTCCCTTCGCTCGCAGCATCGCGCCACGATTCCCAGCTATGCTAATGTATGGGCAAATGGCGGTGCGACGTCGGTCGCTGTTGACTGCCAAGATAATATTCTTCGGCCGTTCTTATACGTTCAAACTGGA